AGCGATGAGCTACGAGGATGACTAGATAAGATAAGACTGTTCAGTTATAAAAACTAATATCTGAGAGGGGGATATACAGCTATATTAGTTGCTTGATAGGCTAGAGGATTATAACACAGAGCATTACTTGCATGCATGTCAATTCAGTGAAGGTCAATTTTGGGAGAGCCAACAGGAAGTATTTTTTGACACAGGGAATAATTGACAGCTGCAGCTTCATGCCAGGTCAAAATGCTGGCTTTCTTTACAAAACAGATTGATCACGTAATAGGAAAATGGTAAGGTTGCAGAAATATTAAATCAACTGGGCCAAAGGGACATCTTCATTGATTTCTCATACATATTGAAGAACTTATCCAGTGTAGAATGTCAGTAGGAATGAAGATATTGATAATGCCATATTATAAGAAGAAATACAAATTTGCCAGGTAAAAGACCAAGGTCCATCACGTTCGCTTTCCATCATCCTGGCAGTCACATGCACATGTGTCGCATCGTCAGGGTGGTGTCCTTCGGATGAGATGTTAGACCAAGGTTCCATTTGCCTAAAGAAATGGATGTTAAAGATCCCATGGTACTATTCAAAAAGAGAAGGAAGTTTCTCCTGGTGTCCTGGTCAACAATCTCCCAAATCAAATTGTTCCCTTACTCCTTCTCTGTTTGTGGGACATTGTTGTATGCAATTCAGCTGCTTTGTTATGCCCACAAAATACACAATCAATCCACTTGACAGTATATCCTGTGAAGCGCTTTGAGACATCTCAACGACGTGATAAGACGCTGTATCAAATGCAAGAAATATTATTATTATTATAATAGAGTAGTGAATTGTTTTTTCAACATTTCAGAAGAATTCAGCTTTGAGTTTAATCACAGCTCCAGCAAATTGTGCCGTAAATGTTGCTATTTCTTGAAATTTTTGATTGTTTATCATGAGTGACAGCATCTTGTCAAATAAAGTGGATCCAATATTCTGATTCGGAAGAGAATATTGTTCTTCATTTTCAATGTCATTTTTACTTATCATTTTGCTTTGTCCCTTCTAGAAGTGAAATGGAGCCAATGCGCACTTTGCTGTCTTTTCTCCTGTCTCATCATTTGCCTTTAAATGCTTTATGGTTCCAATCATGCAACTCTATATTCATTCCTAGCACCCAATGAGCAATGACCTATTCTTATTGTCTCCAGAACTACCGCTTCTTAATCCTGCGGTAAAGTTTGTTAATTTAGTACAATCTAAACTTGGTTGTGGTTCTTGACAACGTCTGAAGTCTGTTTTATCAGATGCAGCTAATCAACTCACTGATAGAGTTGCATGGTTTTAAGTCAGTAACATTCCTTTCCTTGCAAACCTTTCTTTTTGCAGTTTCCACTCTACTCTATGTTTAGTTCATATCTTCCAAAGTGGTATTGGATTGATATAAACCTTAAAAATGCATTTGCATTCTTTATCGACACCTGCCTCAATCACCTGCACCGATTTAAGCGTTAAATGATATGTGTACCAGCACACTTTATCCCCCGCTATTTAATTATGAACAGGGGATAAACTGTGCTGGTAAACATATCATTTAACGCATAGCTCTTAGCTCGCACCTCAAGGGAGAAGTGCCAAGCACTTGACAGAACACAATTCAATATCATGTTTAATTTTCCTATATCCACACTGTTAGCTGCCTTCAATAATAGTATCTTATCGTCAGTCTAATTATAAGAATAGTAGCAGCAAGTGAGATAATAATAATCATTGTAATTGTTATCGCGCATTATCGAGACTTCTCAAAGCGCTTCACAGAATATATTGTACACAAATGCAATACAAAATCACATTTGTAAAGTGCCTTTCATGTCGGGAGGACATCCCAAGGCCCTGAACAGTCAGGGATTAGCTACCGAACCGGGGGGAAGGGTTGGGATCAGGGAGGGTGGAGGGCAGGGAGGGTGGGAGTAGGAGGGTGGCCAAAGGCACAGTCGAAGAGGAGGCCTTGGGAGGGAGGGTGCGAGGCACAGGGAATGTGGGATGCAATTCCAGAGGGTGAGGTAAAGAGGCTGCAGGCCCGACCGCCGATGGTGTGGCGGACTGGGCGGGGGACATGGAGCAGGTCAGATACTTCTGAGCAGAGGGAACAGACAGATTGATAAGGTGGTTAGCAGGTTGGAGAGGTAGGATGGGCAAGGCCACGGAGGGCCTTGAAAGTGAGGACGAGAATTTTGAGAGATGGGAAGCCAGTGGAGCCTGGCATCGTAAAGTGAATTGACTTGTATATTTTGTGGGCAAAACTTGGCAGCCAATCGCACATCGATGTACCCCACAAACAGTCGTGGGTTGAGTTTAATAACACATATTAGTTGGATTAGTTCTCACTATGTTCATGGATTAGTTTAATTTACAGTATTGCAGTGAGCAGTTAACAAAGTTTGCCACAGCAGCCTATAAAATCAGAAGAAGACATTAATGCTTGCAGCATTGCCTTTTTATGTAAATGATAATACTTCTCTTTTCCACTTCATCAATGAACTAGCGTACCGATGCAGGTTAGTTTCTCTCTCTACAGAAGCTGTGTCATTCAGGTGTAACCCTCACTTTTAAGCTTTTTTGACCATATCTGCCCAAACCTTGTACGCTCTTAGTTCTGCAATCTTCATCAGATATTTACTGCATGTATGAAACGTATGAAACACATGTATGAAACAGCCAGCTGACCAAAATCCCAAATCCCATTTTCATTCTAGTCTTGAATTCAGGAATCTAATATGCTGACTGTTAAGCATCTCATTAGCATAAATCTATGGCTTGGTAGCATTTTTGTAGAATATTATGACCACTCTGATCTAAATAGCCAGCGAACCAGTATATTGAAACAAATGATTATCTCTCCCCGAGCAGCTCCTTATTGTTGCCTCTGTAGGCACATCTTTTTCATTCCATCTCTTCAATTGTTCTTTAGTCACTCTTGTTAAACCTTACACCACTAAGCTAACCAAACCAGACATTAGTTTTAATTTTTAGCCAACGTCTTCAATATTTCTTTATTACACAATATTTGTGTAATTTGTTAGTCTGGGTACAAATTTCACTTTGATTCAATTAATAATAATACTACTAATAATAATCCTTGCATTTGATATAGCGCCTTATCACATTATATTTCATAAACTGTAAACTGCATATTAAAATAAACACAAGCTCCTCAAAGTGGCCTCCTGACACAACCTGCACTGATACAGTTAATGTAACAGAATAAATTTATACTATCACACAACTTCCATCCGTTTGATAATGATTATTAATGGAATCCTGCTTAACCCGCAATATAAAATTTTTGGTTAAGCAGGGTATACCCACAGTATGAAATGTGAACAGATACGTTCAATCTGATATAAAGTTTTCATTGAAGTATCTGTACAGATATTAACAGGTCCTTTTTCTACTTCCAAATTTATATAATCATCCAAGGACTTAATGACTTCATACAATGTAATGCATTCTTTGGTTAGTGACTTTAAGAAAAACTTTATAGAGTATGCACAGGTTTGCATGAGGATATCACCAGCTGTTCAAGGCAAACTTATTTGAAAGGTTGAATGATTTTACACTTGATAAAAGTTAAACCGTCTATCGCATATCATCTTCACGTGTTCCTCTTATACAGATTCGCTGTATCAGTTGATGACGACAAGACTAATACTAAAGTATTTGAAATGAACTTACTGACGTGTGTAAAAAAAAGTTAATGCAATAAGCAAATCTGCTGCCAAGTCGTTTTTATACCAAGTATAGAGGCTGAGACTGCACCGCAAGCAAAAAAATGTCTATAAAGGCTGGCTCAAATGAACATTAGAGTCGCTGGTACGTTCATACAACACGGTATGTTCATTTCTGACTTTGCTTATATCTGGGTACCAATCGTATTATAGCATGATTATAGGAATTTAAGTATTACCACGCCTGTTTCTGTTTGGTACTTTATATAATCAAATGTTATTTTACCCTTCCTGTTACTTTGAGATATTATGGCATAATTTGAGTAATATTGAATGATTTGAATAACTTATTAAGTCATTTCAGGATATTACCTTTATTTATCTGTAAAAGTAATAACAATCGGATGATTTACCAATCAGGTCTTCTCTTGTGTTGCAGTTGTTGCCTACGCCTTTTCCCTAACTGGGTGAATTAAGGTAAGTATAGACAGCTAACTTTAACATATACACTGGATAAGAAGATTAATTAGCAAGCTTTAATATCGTAGCTTGAATATGACAAACTCTATTTTGTCCTTAGGCACAAACAGTAATTAGTTTCCAAATATAGGACCTGCAGTTCAACCCCAATTACACTTCCATTAACACGTCAACTGATCTCTTGAGGATGGCCAGCTCAATACTATGCTATTCACAGCTGGTTGAATAAGACACACCTTATCATATATCAGTCCACTTCCATCTGTCCACAGCACATATTCTATGCAGCATTTGTTTTTTGGTCAGCTGGGTAAAGCTGTAAACATTTCTAACATTATTCATGAGAAATATTAAAGAGTTCCATCATTCAAAAATCACTCAACATTTCCATCATTCAAAAACATATTTATCTTTAATGCAGAGCGACGAGAGGTAACTGAGTTGGAAGAAAATGTGGGCAATTAAACTTAATAGTTTATACCTAGTGATGTTTCAGATATCAAATATACTCTACACCTTATATTGGCAATCATAGATAGATTATCGGAGATTTTAACTGACTTGAAATGTCTTTGATTTTATGAATTAATCCAGCAGGAAAAAACACACTCTAAATAACAGGATGACATCTTTTGATATTTTCATCAAACAATTGTGAAATTAAAATAATTCACACATAAGATAAATATCCTGCTGGTCGACATTTTCTAATGCCAATTGCAACTGGTGCAGAACTTCCAAAAATATGTGCTGACTTTTAGGGTTCTTACTGGGTCGTTATATATTTGAATATATTTCAGCAGTAAACTGGAGCCATGTCGGACAGTGAAATGTTAGTGTTTGGAGAGGCAGCCCCATATCTGCGCAAGTCTATGAAGGAAAGGCTAGAAGCTCTACACCGACCTTTCGATGCTAAATCTGCCTGCTTCGTGCCTGACGAGAAGAACTTGTTTGTACCAGGCACCGTGAAAAGCAAGGACGGGGGAAATGCTACGGTGGAGACTTTCGACAAACGGGTCAGACCAAAACAAATGATTAGTCTCTTGTTTAGAATGAGTAGAGTCTGATTTGTTTTCCTTTTAGTGGTCTTATCACTCCATTGGTTTACAAAAACGCTCAATCTGTTAATTCCTTTGCAGACAGTAACTGTCAAAGAGAGTGATGTCTACCCAATGAACCCGCCCAAATTCGACAAAGTCGAAGACATGGTGGTGATGACTCACCTCCATGAAGCATCTGTGCTGAATAACCTCAAAGAGCGTTATGCTGCCTGGATGATCTATGTAAGTAAGATTTTTTAAAAAACGTATAATTATTTGTAGCTATATATTTACACCTATCTCAAAATGAATGTAAGTACGAGAGTTTGAAAGATTGAAAAAACAAAAGTGTAAATAGAATGATTTATAATACATATTATCTTCGGATACAGACCTACTCTGGGCTCTTCTGTGTCACTGTGAATCCCTACAAGTGGTTGCCAGTGTACAACACCGAGGTAGTGGTTGGTTACAGAGGAAAGAAACGCCAGGAAGCTCCTCCACATATCTTCTCCATCTCTGACAACGCCTATCAGTCCATGTTAACTGGTAAATATGAAGGCATTTAGGAGAGGTTTTATGTACTCAGTGCTATTTTTGATTTTCATGTAGTGTGGATCAATTATTGGACAATCTGTCTTTTTCTTCTACTATCCTCCTTGAGCTTTGATTTTATACGTATCCTATTCACAGGTCGTGAAAACCAGTCTATCTTGATTACGTAAGTTTTCTTGGCGATATAATCTATCCTTGAAAGTTGTCATTTGTTATTACATAATAACTTCATTTATTTGGTCGTTTCGCCCATAAAATATACAGTCACTACACTTTACAGTCTATTCTGTGAAGCGCTTTGAGACGTCTAGAAGATGTGATAAGGCGCTATATCAAATGCAAGGATTATTATTATTTACCTCACTTTTTGTTACAGTGGAGAATCCGGTGCTGGGAAGACTGTGAACACCAAACGTGTCATCCAGTACTTTGCACTAATTGCAGTGACTGGCGACGCAAAGAAATCTGTGAAGGTGCAGGTGAGAGTCAACGCAGAATAATATGATAATATAAATACACACTTTGCATTTGATATAGCAATTGTCTCTTGGTTGAAACAGCTCAAAGGCTTTCAAACCCAACATATCAAAGGCAGTTGAAAATACACTATTACCAATTGAAAAGAATAATGAACAATGGACCTATCAGGAATAATTAAAGCTGTATTTTTTTAGGGAAATCTGGAGGATCAAATCATCCAGGCGAACCCATTGCTGGAGGCCTTCGGAAATGCCAAGACAATGAGAAATGACAACTCCTCTCGCTTTGTAAGTTTTCTTTGAAAATGTTTCTATAATTAAACTGATTTTTACAATGACATCTCTCATACATTATTCATCTATAAGTCAGCATTGCAATTTCTAATATTCTAAAAAATGTGGAAATGATAGTGTCTGGGTATGATGAAATGGAACTTCAAATCTTAGGACTAATTTGAATAATTTACCTTTATTTCAAGGGAAAATTCATCCGTATTCACTTTGGAACAACGGGAAAACTGGCTTCCGCAGATATTGAAACCTGTAAGTAGTTATGCACTTGTCCTATAAGCATCTCCAGTTAGTGAACCATTGATTATGTATCACAGTAATCCAACCCATGGATTCTATGTCTAACAGATCTGCTGGAAAAGTCCAGAGTGACCTTCCAGCTGAAAGCTGAAAGAAGTTATCACATTTTCTACCAAATGATGAGCAACTGCAAACCAGAACTTATTGGTAAGAAGATGGAATGCATTGTGGAATTGTTTGTTTGATTGGGACTATTACAGATGAAATGTTTGCATCATATATTTATCTCCTCCAGAAACAGGTCTACCTGCAGACATAAGAATACATTTTTAATCTCTGTCTTTTTCTTATGTTATTTTCACACTCTTCCTTCAATATTATTTAAATTTCATTTAAATAAATGCAAATTGTGCCTATTCCATTGCGGCAAATGCAACAATATTGAAATATAAATGTAAATTGAAAGGTTATTCGAAAAGAAGAAAAACGGATAATGTGGTATTGTTCAGTTATAGTTCTTCCTATGTTTTTTCTCAGAAATGTGTCTCATTTCGACCAATCCCTATGATTTTCCATCCATCAGCCAGGGCGAAATTACTGTGCAGAGTATCAATGATTCAGAAGAATTGATAGCAACTGATGTAAGTATTTGTGGCACAGGTTCATTTTGTTCTTTTCATGTGGCTTGTGTATTGTAAGGCGCACATACACTTCATGGGAATGATAAGAAATATTGCATCTTGACGGTGGGAACACAATGAGAAGGAATTGAGTGAGAATGGGAGATATTTATTAACTGCGAACAAAATAAATATAAATAACAGCACAGGCAGTGTGCTGGGAATGTAGTATGTGGGAGTTTGTGGACTGTGAGACTGTCCCGGACTGTCAAGTCTGCAGGAAATGTCTCTGGCTTGACACACTCTGGCTCAGAATCGCTGAGCTGGAGTGCGAGTGCGAAACACACTCCAACAAATAAGGAAAGGGGAGGAATTTCTGGATAGTTTTATCCAGAACTCAGTCACACCCCAGATGAAAGCACAGGTACAGGAAGGGAAGGCTGTGACTGTCAGTGAGCAGGGTAGTGGAAACCAAGGAGAGGTAGAGAAGGAGGTCCCGCAGACATTGGTCCTGTCCAACAGGTACAATGTACTCGATACCTGTGAGCACAAAGAGAAAGACTGCAGGGAGGACAGCCATAATGCAGACCAAGGCACCGTGGAACAGAAGGCTGTCCAAAGGGGGGAGGAGCAGAATAGCAATCTAGTAGTGTTAGGGGATTCAACAGTTAGGGGCATAGATAGATCTGTTAGCCATGAACAAGAGTCCCGAGGATGTGTTGCCTACCTGGTGCCAGGGTAAGAGACATCTCAAGGCAGCTGGAGAGGAATTAGGAAAGGGAGGGGGCAGATCCAGTTGTCATGGTCTATGTTGGGATAAATGACATAGGTAAGAACAGGGAGGAGGTCCAGCTGAGGGAGTTTCTGGAGTCAGGAGCTAAATCAAAAGACAGGACCTCAAGCCACGAGCAAATTGGAGTAGGGAGAAACAGATTAGGAAAGTTAACATGTGGCTAAAGGATTGGTGTGGTTAAGAAGGGTCCCATTTCATGTGACATTGGCATGGACAGGAAGGAGCTGTACCGATGGGACGGGCTTCACCTGAACGGGAATGGGACCAGTGTTCTAGCGGAAAGGGTAAATAGGGCTGTGGCAAAGGCTTTAAACTGAAATGAGGGGAGGGATCGGAAGGAAATGGCATAAGCCCAAATATAAATGAAACGGGAGATGAGGGAAAAGGTCAGACAAAATTGTAACATCTTTACTTCAATTTGAAGAGCGCTATTGATATTCTGGGCTTCAACTATGAAGAGAAATGTGGTATCTTCAAGTTGACCGGTGCAGTGCTGCGCTTTGGCAACATGAAATTCAAGCAGAAACAACGGGAGGAGCAGGCTGAGCCGGACGGTACCGAAGGTAACCATTTGAATCTTTCCTTTACTTGCAACTTCTTTTTGGTTTGCCAAAATAAAATTTCACTTTAGAAAGCTCTAACTTATATGAATTATTTTAATTAGCATTCATTAGTTACATCACAATGTCTATTTATTTGTGATATTATGGACTACAATAATGTTTCTGTAAATATTATGAGATCTGAGAAATATTGCCTGTATATTGGTGTAAGTTCAGTGATTTGGGACGCTACCCTGTGTGAGGGCTGCTGTGTAAATGCAAGCTGTTGTTGTTGTAAGTTCAGTTAAGGATTCGTGGCATCGGTCTGCATTATTGCTTTGAATATCAAAACTGTACAGTTGTTTCCGTTAATTAAGGTTAATATATGTGTAATGTAAATTTAGTGCAGGAAGCACTATTACTCACTCTTTATCGTAAAACAGTGGTAAATATTAAATCTCAAATCAGTACTAAAATTTATTAATTATTATCTTTTTAGATGCCGATAAAGTTGCATACCTAACAGGGCTCAACTCAGCAGATTTGCTCAAAGCTTTGTGCTACCCAAGGGTAAAAGTCGGCAATGAGTTTGTGACCAAAGGTCAGACTGTCCCACAGGTATCATATCTAATTAAATCATTTTTAAATTTTAAGTACTGAATTCCCTGGGCAAATTATAACTTTGGTTTCTGACTAAACTTGAGCAATTTGCCAGCAAATTCACAAATTGTGCAATGACTTTTGTAAATACTGCAAAATTGTGCATCTAGTTAACAGCGATAAAAATGTATATGTTATCAATATGGAGGCATCCAATTCTGACACTTATAGCGGCACCTCATGAAGGCTCAAAGATAAGGACCCCACTAAATGTGTCTTCTGAAGGCTGGTTTTGATTCCTAACCTGTGACCCCAAAATACACTGAAATCTCAAAACATTGTCATCTTTCAGGTGTACAACAATATTGGAGCCCTTGCAAAATCAATCTTTGAGAAAATGTTCTTGTGGATGGTGATACGCATCAACCAGCAACTGGACACAAAACAGGCCAGACAGCATTTCATTGGTGTCCTGGATATTGCTGGATTTGAAATTTTTGATGTAAGTTACAAGGTTCAGAAAAAAACGTAACAGTAATTTAAACAAGTTAAAGTTTTGAGGAAGTATTGTAGCTGTTAGCATCGATCAAAGAAAGGTGTGCATTGGGTATTAAATACACAGATTCCTGAGGTCATTTGGTAAAGTAGACAAGAGTATAAGAGATTCATTTCAAAACATTGGCTTGATGCCAATGCTCTGTTTGCTGGACTTCCCAACTCTTCCCTACCTACACAAGCTGCAGACTAACCAGAACTCTGAAGCCCATGTCCTCTCTTACATCAGGCTCCATGAACCTATCACCCTCATCTTTGCTCAGTTCTATTAGTTCCCCATCCCTCAAGATTGAGTTCAAGATCCTCATCATCGCCTTTAAAAACCTCCAAGCCTCACCCCACTCTGCTTCTGTGACCTCCTTCACCCTACCGACCAGACCACTCGCTTTGTTCAGCGAGCACTGACCTTTATCATGTCCTCCACACTATCCCGATGACAATGTGGTGGGTAGAGAGGCCACACTTTCAGCAGTGCCCATCCAGCACTACGAACTTTTTTGAGACATCCTCCTGACATGAAAGGCGCTAGCTATATAAATGTACATATTAAAGATAAAGGTGAGTTAGAAACCAGTGAGTAAAGGCACAGACATGATGAGTGAAATGGCTGCCTTCTGCACTCAGAAAATCTTAAAAATAATCACGGCAATTCCTGAATGATAATGTCACACTTGAAATATTGCTTTGTTCATTCAGTACAACAGCTTGGAACAGCTGTGCATCAACTTCACCAACGAGAAACTGCAACAGTTTTTCAACCATCACATGTTCGTCCTGGAACAAGAGGAATACAAGAAGGAAGGAATTGATTGGGAATTCATTGACTTTGGTATGGATCTGGCTGCCTGCATTGAGCTTATTGAAAAGGTAGGGAATTTTGTGTAAATATTAAGAAACAAAATTATTAAATGTCTATACAATATGTACACTCACCTTATTATTTCAAACTGTGTTATAATGCTAATATATGTTATGATGACAGCCCTTGGGTATCTTCTCCATCCTGGAAGAGGAGTGTATGTTCCCGAAGGCCTCAGATACATCCTTCAAGAACAAGCTGTATGACCAGCATCTTGGCAAATCAAACAATTTCCTAAAGCCCAAGCCTGTCAAAGGAAGGCCTGAAGCGCATTTCTCCCTGGTCCATTATGCCGGCACTGTGGACTATAACATCACTGGCTGGCTGGAAAAAAATAAGGATCCACTGAATGAAACTGTTGTTGGATTGTTCCAGAAATCTTCAGTGAAGCTTTTAGCTCAGCTCTATGCTGCATCTGCAGCTGAAGGTAAACTCCATTTGCATTCCAACATATATATTCTTTTTAGTGAATTCTATGGTGGTTGTTCTACAGTACAGTTAAGTACAATAACAATTTTGTTTCTTTACAGCTGACAGTAATCCCAAAAAAGGCGGCAAGAAGAAGGGTTCTTCCTTCCAAACAGTATCTGCTGTGTTTAGGGTATGATTGCCTTGTCTGCACAATTTTACTATGCAGACAATAATCCCTTAAAAATAAATGTGGTCAATCAATCCATGACTGGATTGATTTTGGGACACTGCAGTGTGCTGCTGCATTTTGCCCACATTCAATTCACTTTACAGTATACTCTGTGAAGCGCTTTGAGACGTCTCGAACATGTGATAAGGCGCTATTAAATGCAAGGATTATTATTATTACTGGTTTCACTGAGGCACATTTTAATAAATTTTAGTGGGATAGCAAAATGTGGATTGAAATAGGTTAAGTGAGGTGTCAGTGCAACAAGTGGAGATCTTTTGGTTACAAACACAATTCCAAACAAATAAAAAATAATATTATAAAAATTTTGCATCAAACAGGAAAACCTAGGGAAGTTGATGGCTAACTTGAGGACAACACATCCACATTTTGTACGCTGTTTGATCCCTAATGAGACAAAGACACCGGGTAAGTTTGGCTTCTGAAATAAATTCATATTTTCTGTTAATTCATACAAAATAAATGATGATTGGGACAAGTATAGATTGGAATGGAATATATACTGAATCTAACAAAAGGAAATCAAAAAACTCTGCTCTAACTATTGTGTTGCATTCTTTAGGCTTGATGGATAATCACCTTGTCATACACCAGTTGAGGTGTAATGGTGTGCTTGAAGGTATCAGAATCTGCAGAAAGGGATTCCCGAGCAGAATCCTCTATGCTGACTTCAAGCAAAGGTAAAGAGTCTGAATTTCTACACTTCTTTCAGAGTCATGTTGTTGACTATACGCAGTAACAAATGCTGATATCTTTTCATTTTTATTACCAAGATATAGGATTCTTAATGCAAGTGCCATCCCTGAAGGTCAGTTCATTGACAGCAAGAAGGCCTGCGAGAAGTTACTGGGATCAATTGAAATTGATCACACCCAGTATAGACTTGGACACACTAAGGTACTGAATATATAATATATACAAAATATTAGGATGATTAAATCGCACAATACTCACAATACCAGATAAAGGTATAGCAAACCTTTTACCTTTGTTTAAATATGCAAGATTGAGATTACCAAACACTAGATTGGAGAAACTAACAGTTACAATTTTTCACTTCCACATTTATTTGTGAATTGAATTACAAGTAATGATCAACTGCTGATGATCCTCCTGGGGGAGGCAAGTCTGCCATATTTCAAGGCACTTTTGATGACAGACCAACCAGCTTTCGGTATTCCGCATGACTTGCAGGAGTAGAGATAGGAGCAAAGTGCCCTATTCACTGGGGGCAGGAATAGGGCACTTTGCTCCTATTAATCGTGCAGGCCAAAACCTAACAAGAAGGGTTGTCCAAGCTGGACAGGCAGTGGGAATCTTGCCAGACAGTGTTACAGGCTATGCTGTTTTGACTAGTTGAGCTCTAGGAAAAGTCCACGCTACGCTGTTTCAACTAACTAAATTCCAGTAGAATCCCAACACAAATTCTCAAGCTTTGGTTCTTACCAATCTGCGTCTAATACTTTCTGAGATTAGGTAAGAAAGGAATGTCTCTTCAAAAAGAAAGTGTACATTTCATTCCAGACAAAGGAAAATTTCCATAAATAAGTGGAATGCTCAATCTGATTCAGATACTTACAAACATGGTGATAGGTTTTCACATGTATCAGACACCTGGCTGACAGATAAACTAACAATAACAAAACAACAACTTGTTGTTGACAAATAAAATAAATGATCGGTAAAGAAATTGGATGCGTATTCATCGATTTATATTGAATGTACAGTTTGGAAAAGGCCATTAGGTGTAACTATACCGTGCCAGTGTTTATACTCCACTTGAGTCTCTACCCACTCCTTACTTTCTCCCATATCAATCTATTCCCTTCTCCTTCACGTATATATCTAGCTTCCTCTCAAATGCATCTATATATAGAAAAGGACCTGCTGTCCTTTCACCCATCAATCTCTGTTGGATCAAGTAACAAGAATTTTCATTTAAATTACTATCATAAAAGTGATGTGAATGTGAAAAAAAATAATTTCATTGTATAAAGGTGTTCTTCAAGGCTGGCCTCCTGGGCACACTAGAGGAGATGAGAGATGAAAAGCTGGCACAGCTTGTTACCAGCATACAAGCCCTATGCCGTGGCTACCTAATGAGAATTGAAATGAATAAGATGATAGAAAGAAGGTAAAAGCTGTTTCCATATTACTTCAAGCATATGTTAGTTGTATTATTTATTCTTTTATTGATGCTTTTATTGTCCATACATTTTCTCTTTCGTCACCAAGGCTTTTGACTTCTATTTCCTTTCACTGAGGTATGGTTCCACAGGTGCCAGTATTTGGCTATTATGTACATGGGAATTTTGATAGTGAATGTTAGCAAGCTATTTCTGCATCATGGTCATAATACAGAACCAGTGCCTCGGGACGTCTTCCAGCACCTTGGGACGTTCTCCCGATGTGAAAGTCGTTATACAAATGTAATTTCGTATTGAATGAGTGGAACCCTGGTTGATTTTCTCCTACTAATCCAGGAGCACTATGGTCACTGTGACTCCAACTACACCCCCTTTTAGGATTAGAAAATTTATCATCCTAGATTCGACCTTTAAGTTATATGTTCTTGTGCTGCACCAAGTGCTACCTTTACCTGCTAGGTCATTGGGGGAAGAGAAAAATGTCATGCATTTAGTTTTAATTTTACTTTTTCATGGATAATACACCTGTGGAATGCATTTACCCTTTCTGATTGGATTCTTCAGGGACAGCCTGTACAGTATCCAGTATAATATCCGTTCATTCATGAATGTCAAACATTGGCCATGGATGCTTCTGTACTTCAAGATCAAACCTCTTCTGAAGAGTGCAGAAACTGAAAAGGAAATGGCAAATATGAAAGAGGAGTTTGAGAAGACAAAGGAAGCATTTGCTAAATCAGAAGCAAGAAGGAAGGAACTTGAGGAGAAAATGGTGTCACTCGTGCAGGAAAAGAATGATCTTATGGTCCAAGTCCAATCGGTAATAACATTTCCACTCGGTGATTAAACTGATTTGTTTAATGGTACAAATACCGTAAAATGTAAATTAATTCACTTAATGGTGACTTTTACAGGAAGGTGAAACTCTAGTGGATGCTGAAGAGCGATGCGAGGGGCTCATTAAAAACAAAATTCAACTGGAAGCTAAAATGAAAGAATTGAATGAGAGATTGGAGGATGAAGAGGAAACGAATGCTGAACTCACAGCTAAGAAGAGAAAACTGGAAGATGAATGCTCAGAACTGAAGAAAGATATCGACGACTTAGAGCTGACATTAGCTAAGGTTGAAAAGGAGAAGCATGCCACAGAAAACAAGGTATAAAAGATCACACTGTAAAAGTATACAGGATATAGATACTGGATGGAAGGATTAAGGCTTCATTATCCTGTGTATTTTATTTGTCTTCATATAGGTTAAAAATCTTACAGAAGAAATGGCTGCCCTTGATGAAAATATTGCCAAATTAGCAAAGGAAAAGAAAGCTTTGCAGGAAGCCCATCAGCAAACTTTGGATGACCTGCAGGCTGAGGAAGACAAAGTCAACACTCTCACAAAAATGAAGACTAAGTTGGAGCAGCAAATTGATGACGTATGTTTTTAAAAAAAGAAACAGATAAATTGATTGAAAGGCTCTATCATTGTTTTCATCAAATGCTAATGGAAGATGATTTGTCTATCAGCTTGAAGGTTCTCTGGAACAAGAGAAAAAGGTTCGTATGGACCTTGAGCGAGCCAAAAGGAAGATGGAAGGTGATTTGAAACTAACACAAGAAACCATAATGGATTTGGAGAACGATAAGCAGCAACTGGATGAAAAGCTAAAGAAGTACGCTTTTTGTTTAAACACAATAAAATATAACAATTTGCAGTATTACTTTATTCCCCTCCACAGTACAATTTGCTTGACAAAATAACCATTCATGAGGATGGTTACCATATAGAAGTCAATCATTTGAAAATACCATGTGGTATTAATATAAAGAAATGTTATCACTCGGTGGATAACAGCAAGTAAATTATAAAATGAAAAATATGGCACAGAAGCAGGCCATCCTGCCCATCAAGTCTGTGCTGACATCTTTCCCCACTTGAACTATCTCTAATTCCACTCTCCTATTTACTCCTATATCCTATAATATTCTTCATCAGTGTTTGCTATTTGTTCAAAATATATATTCTTTTCAATTCAATGGTATTAATTAATCTGATATTATAGGAAGGAATTTGAAATCAATCAACTTCAAGGCAGTGTTGAAGATGAGCGGGTTTTGAGTTCCCAGCTACAAAAGAAGATTAAGGAATTGCAGGTGAGCTGTACACTTTTGTAATTTGTGAATTTTATTTCCAGAAAAAGCCATCTTAAGTATTCCCATTCCTAGAATCAATATTAATACATTCTTGTGTCTTTCAGGCTCGTATCGAAGAACTGGAGGAGGAAATTGAAGCTGAACGTGCAGCTCGTGCTAAGGCAGAGAAGCAGAGGGCTGACTATTGTCGTGAACTGGAGGAAATCAGTGAAAGGCTTGAAGAAGCCGGTGGTGCAACTGCCGCACAGATTGAGATGAACAAGAAACGGGAAGCAGAATTCCAGAAAATGCGCCGTGATCTGGAAGAAGCCACACTGCAGCATGAAGCCACAGCTGCTGCTCTTCGTAAGAAGCAGGCCGATAGTGTGGCAGAACTTGGAGAACAGATCGACAACCTCCAGCGTGTGAAACAGAAGCTGGAAAAGGAAAAGAGCGAGCTGAAGATGGAAATCGATGATCTGGCCAGCAACATGGAATCTGTAACTAGATCCAAGGTATGCTTTGCAATCATACCATTCATAACGTTTTAGAGCAATTAACTATGAAGAATAACTAGACGCACTTCAGCCTTGGAAACAGATCCTATAGAAAATGAGAAGACATGTAAGGGGCTAGCAGTGAATCCTTGGCAATTCAGTACTCTGAAATACACGAAAGCAGCAATTTCCTGGGGCACAAATGTAAGTTTGAAACCATCAGGTTCAGAATAAAGAAGTATTTCTTTACAAAAAGGGTAATCAACAGGCTGGAACTCATTTAAGATACTGGGAGGAAAATGATTAGGAAGATCGTAGGGCTGGTAAAGGTTGATATCAAATAGGCCAAAAAGCCTTCTTCGTTTAAACATCGCATGTGATCTTCATATAATTGTGTTTAATCAGCTACTTCTTTTCCTTTTAACAAGCACATTACTGTTTTGCAAATTGTCTTATGTTGGTTTAGGGTAACCTTGAGAAGCTAACTCGCACTCTTGAAGACCAAGTCACTGAACTGAAGACTAAACATGATGAGCATCAACGTCTGATTAATGACTTATCAACTCAAACAGCACGTATCAAAACGGAAAATGGTATTTATTAGTCGTATATCTCTACCTTGTTAATATGTAAAATATTAAATATCCAACATCATTTGACTGATTGTTGTATGCCACTTACACACTTGAACACTAGGTGAACTGAGTCACCAGGTAGAGGAGAAGGAAGGCTTCATTTCTCAGCTGACAAGAGGAAAACAAGGATTTACTCAGCAGATTGAGGAACTCAGAAGACATTTGGAGGAGGAAATAAAGGTGCAGCTGAAATTCCTTTCAATTAGTTGTTTTTTGTTAAATGGTATGCTTAAAATGAAGGATGTTAGGATTGGGAAATGAGAAAGATACAGAGTAAAGCTCTATCTTTCCCATCTATGGTGTCCCAAAAATGTCCATCAGCCTCAATGTCAGAGAACTATCAAGCAGCACACCAGTATGACTTCCATTGTCTATACCCACATTTCTGACATTGCAAATTTAATTCTAGTGCTGTGCTATGTGTTCATCTTCACTCAGAACTACCCTCAAACAGTTTCATTCTGGAAGATGCTTAAAGCCAACTGACAAAGAAAATCTTCATCCAGTTTTACTGGGTAGGATGGATTCAACCCAATTCACCCCCTCTTAATATCCAGATATCCCAGATATGTTTTTTGTAACAAAGAAACCATAATTTCTGCAATCCTTTGTAAACTTCAAGGACAGTTGATAACTTTTTGTAGCAGCTTTGTTCTCAAAGAGCAGTTTTGTAATGCTGGTAGATTTTGCTGTGCAGTTGTGATGTGAAGATTCAGGATACTGTACCAACTCTCAAGTGAATCCAAAGATTCAAGGTAGAGCAATGTTCTAGAATGGTGGTTACACATCATAACTTAGATTTGCTCATCACACTTTTTGATTCTTTTAGGCTAAGAATGCACTGGCTCATGCCTTGCAATCCTCCCGCCATGACTGTGATTTACTCCGTGAGCAATTTGAAGAGGAACAGGAGGCAAAGGGAGAGCTCCGGCGTGCAATGTCAAAGGCTAATTGTGAAGTCATTCAGTGGAGAACAAGATACGAAACTGATGCGATCCAGCGTACGGAGGAACTGGAAGAGGCCAAGTAGGTTTTAGAAACGTGGGAATTTGGCATTAATTCTATACCATTTAAGATGATAATTTAAAATTTATTGCCACATATTCAACTTGTGTATTTTGAAGGAAAAAACTTGCTCAGCGTCTTCAGGATGCAGAGGAGCACATTGAGGCTGTGAACTCCAAATGTGCTTCCCTGGAAAAGACAAAACAGAGACTGCAGAGTGAGGTTGATGATCTCATGATAGATGTGGAAAGAGCAAATGGAGCTGCTCTAGTTCTTGATAAGAAGCAGAGGAGCTTTGATAAGGTAATTTGACATGACATTATCTTTATCTGTGACCAGGGCTCCGTCTGCCTCCTCGTCTGCCTGGATTTCTTTGCCACGTTCAACACAGTCAACCACGCCATCTTCCTCCATCGGCTCTCCTCTCTCAACTACCTTAGTGGGACCCCATTCATGTGGTTCGAGTCCTACTTGACCAACCGCCTCCATTTCATCTCAGCAAGTGGTTTCACCTCTTGCCCCCACCCGGTCACCTGCGGGGTACCCCAGAGCTTCATTCTTGACCCTCTTTTTCTTATCTATATGATACAAAATCTCCGCAGACATGAGGTAAACTTCCACATGTATGAGGATGACAAACAAATCTACCTTGCCTCCTCTAGTACCAACTCCAGTTCCGCCGATATACTGTCAGCTTGTCTGGTGGTCATCAAGACCTGGATGAGTGGAAACTTCCTGCAGCTAAATATGGACAAGACGGAAGCCATATTCCTTGGCTCCCGTCAAGGTCTTCACTTCTGTGGATCTAGCCTCCTCAATCTCCCTGAGTTTTCGAACCAGTATGCAACCTAGGCATCCGGTTCAACCCACCAGATGTCCTTCCTCCCCCACATCCAGACCCTGATCAAGACCACCTTCTTCCACCTCCACCACATTGCCCACTTCGGACCATATCTTACCCCAAATGCAGCCGAAACCCTCTTGCATGCATTTGTCACCTCCCGCCTGGATTACTCCAACCCACTCCTCGCCGGTTTCCCCAGCTCCACCTTTCAAAAGATCAGCTCATTCAGAACTATGCCGCCCATAGACTGACCCCGACCAAACTCTGTACCCACATCTCACCAGTTCTGGCCCAAGCTACACTGGATCCCCATCATCGAGTGGATCGACTTCAAGATCCTCACACTTGTGTTCAAATCCATTCACTCCCTGGCACCTCCCTATCTCTGCAACCTCTCCACTCCCCAATCCACCACCCAGCACCTCTGCTCGACCATCACCGGCCTCCCTGCTTATCCCTCGCATCCTCTGCTTCACCATCGGAGATCGTGCTTTCAGTCACTACGCCCCAAAACTCTGGAACACTCTCCCTCAATCCTTCTGCCTTTCCCCCTCTCTCCCCTCTTTCAAGTTCCGCCTGAAAGCTTTCCTCTTAGCCCGTGCTTACGGCCACCTCCCACCTCCCCCCCGGCTCGGAGTCAGTCTCCGCCACTGTTAAGCACTCTGAGATTTTACAACAACTTACACTTATATAGCTACCCTGCGTGGAGGGCGCTATATAAGTGCAAGTTGTTGTAAAATTTGTTTAGGATTTGTCTCCGTCCCCATTGCACTGATATTATGGATTGTAACTTTTCAACTCATGCCATATAGATTCTGGCAGAATGGAAGCAGAAATTTGAGGAAGGTCAGGCTGAACTGGAAGCAGCTCAGAAGGAAGCTCGTTCTCTAAGCACTGAGATCTTCAAGATGAAGAATGCCTATGAGGAATCTCTGGACCAACTTGAAACTCTTAAACGAGAGAACAAGAACCTACAGCGTAAGTTGTACTGACATTGCCTTCATCATTTCAAAATATTTATTAATAATTATTTGTAATAATAATCGTTACATTTGGTCTAGAACCTTTCAGTTCGGGAAAGCATCCCAAAGTGCCTCACAGGATATACTGTAATGTGCACTGACTGTGTCTGTGGGCGATTCTAATTAAAAAGGATCTTTTTATATTATGTAGAATTTCAATATGCTTTTCAATCAAACAGAGGAGATTTCCGATCTGACTGAACAGACCGCTGAAAGTTGCAAGAGCCTTCATGACCTAGAAAAGGCCAAGAAAGTAACAGAGCAAGAGAAGAGTGAAATCCAATCTGCTTTGGAGGAAGCTGAGGTACAATTCTTTTAGGTGTGCAGTACATACCAAGAATTATAGTACAGCTATGCTGATCAATAGCACAATCACATATTTGAATAAACACAATTTCATCTAGAAAATAAAACAGTTGCAAAACAAGACTAGTTTAGTGAACTCCTTGTTAGTCTTCATTCTTGTTAATACAATGAGATTGATGCCAAAAAGAGAGTTGTGTATCCAATTGAAGTTTATATATTTATATTTATAATCTGTTTTGCAAATAATAAGAATTTACCTTGAACTGAAGAGCATGGTATACACCGTTGAATCATGCATATCATACATTGGGGCCATTTCTTTTATTTTATAGATAACTGTTGGCAGTAACTGTTGACATGTTATTTGGATGTGAGAAAAATCCCATTCAACCTCAATGCTGAAAGTTGCATTTCTCTGGTCAGGATCACTTGGAAGCAAATAGGGGGAGAAATCCTAGCTGATATTTTCTCCCTCAACTGGGAATACTGTGTGTTTTGTACCAACCCCCACATCCGCCTAGCAGAGGTCAATTAACTGAGCCAAGACTGGGATTCAAATCAGGGATCCTCCTGTCAGGGAATCTTACCACCATCAGATTTCCAAATCTTGAAAATTTTAATTCTGATGTATGAATTATTCAGACTTTGGCACGCCAAATAATTTATAATCTATATTTGGCTTTGCCTTTTTACAGTGATATATTCATAATGTATTAAATAGAAATAGCAAAGTCACTAATAACACTTATGGACATCCACAATCTGCAGACATTCAAAATGTTGCCCTCCCATTCTTAGGCATCTTTGGAACACGAAGAGAGCAAAATCCTCCGTATTCAACTTGAACTGAACCAAGTGAAGTCTGAAGTTGATAGAAAAATTGCAGAAAAGGATGAGGAAATTGATCAGCTGAAGAGGAATAACCAGAGGGTTGTGGATACCATGCAGAGCACCTTGGAATCTGAAGTCAGGAGCAGGAATGATGCTCTAAGAATCAAAAAGAAGATGGAGGGAGATCTGAATGAAATGGAGATTCAGTTAGGCCATGCCAATCGCCAGGCTACAGAGGCTCAGAAACATCTCAGAAACCTGCAGGGTCAACTCAAGGTCTGCATAATAGAGATGATTTTCTGTGTCTGACTTCATGTCAATTCCGTTTCATTGGGTGTTTGTTCTATCAATTTAAATTATAAATTTATATGTCATCTTGGCTCATTATTAGCACTCCTGAGTCAGAAGGTTGTGGGTTCAAAACCCACATCAAGACTTTGAACTCACAAGTCTAGGTTGATACATGTATTCCAATGCAGTGTTGGGTTTTGCATTGCATTCTCAGAGGTGCTACCCTTCGGATGTCACGTGAAATTGTTCAGGACTGTCTCAATGGACATTAAAGATGCCATGACATTTTTTGAAAAAGAAGAAGGGGGTTCTTGACAAATACAATTGGTCATTCATTTCATGGCTCTTTGCGAGACATTGCTATTGCTAGGATTCCTCTGTTCACTAATCCTAGCAAAGCTGTACCTGTAATGCTAAAATGCCAAGACAAGTAGCAGCTGTTTACTTCATATTCAAAAATGAATATCCAATGTTGGGAGTTCTGAGCTTACCCGGAGCAGAACTCTGACACTGGTAGAGTATGTGATATATGTTGAAGCATAAATCATTACGGATGGAAATAGTTATTTCAGAAATAGATAATTTCAAAAATATACACATGCTAATATTTGGTATGAACAATATAGTTAACAAATAATACTTACATTTTGCCAAATACTTTTGTGCTTTGAGTAGGATACCCAGTTACAACTGGATGATGCTTGCAGAGGCCAAGACGATCTGAAGGAACAGATGGACATGGTTGAGCGCAGAAGCAATTTACAGCAGACTGAGATTGAGGAAATGAGAGCTGCTTTTGAACAGACAGAGAGAGCTCGCAAAGTGGCTGAGCAAGAACTCCTGGACACAAATGAGAGGGTCCAACTGCTGCACTCCCAGGTTTGTCAGTGAATCATCAGATATACCTCTACTCCCCCAACCCCCGCGTTTACTACTCGCACTTTCTTACCTTTTTGGCTTTTCTTCCAGAACGCAGGTCTTATTAACACAAAGAAAAAGCTTGAGAGTGACCTGAGTCAGATCCAGAGTGAAGTTGAAGAAACAATTCAGGATGCAGGAAAAGCTGAAGAAAAGGCAAAGAAAGCAATCACTGATGTAAGTCTGAACTCATTGCATCATTCATTTCTGTTGCTATTGATGCCCATTTTCCAAAACAGCTATTTGGGTTTGATATGATTTCAAGTTTAAAGGTGAGAAGGCAGGTGGTTAACAAATAATGGAATCCTAGGATTATAAAAGGTACATAGAATGCAGAAAAGCAAGAGGTGATGCTTAACCTGTGTAATTATTAATAAAACTGCAGCATTGTGTATCGTGTCCTGTTGTGTTCACCTTTAGCAAGGGTGTCAGGGCATAGAGAAGATTTACTAGGCCAATACCAGGAATGATTGATTTGACCTTTGAGAAAGACAAGACAAACTGGACTTATTTTAATTGATCAGGGAGGGTTGAGGAATGATCTGATAGAAGAAAAGGCAGGTAAATGGAACTGAATGTGTTTCTCTGTCAAAGAGCTAGCACACCCACAATTGGCTGAAGACTTTCTTCCATGCTGCAAATTTCTATAGTTCTAACTTTTGATTTTCAATTACTCATACCATTGCTTAACTTATTCAGGCCGCCATGATGGCAGAAGAACTCAAAAAGGAACAGGATACCAGTGCTCACCTTGAGAGAATGAAGAAGAACCTAGAGGTGACAGTCAAGGATCTGCAGCACCGACTGGATGAGGCTGAGCAGCTGGCAATGAAAGGTGGAAAGAAACAGCTTCAGACACTGGAAGCTAGGGTAAGTGACAAGCCCATGTTGATAGTTGTATATGACATTAATGGAGATTACGTTCAATGCGTATGACTAAGAAAAAATAGGGTTAGAACCTTTGACATTGCAGAGCTCCCTCAGCAATGCATTTGAGTGTCAATCAGGACTATGAAAGTTGAGATCAACAACAACTTGCATTTTTAATTAGAGTGCTTCATAGAGTTGCAAAGAGCAATTTCATGATAGATAAGTTTTCCTTTACCTAGAAGGAAATTAACAACTGGAATAAGTTGCCAGGAAGGCTGGTTGAGGTCAGGACCCTGGACTCATTTAAGAAACAACTTGATGCTGTGATAGGACAGCAGGGTGGATATCTGGAAGGAAGAGATCAGATAAGCAAAGGGCCATCTTCATCTGAACTAATTTTGTGAGCTTGTGACCTCCATAAATATAGATTACACTGAACCTTTTGCAAAAATAAAGCTACCAAAGTATGAAAATACTGGCGCAGAATTATTGCAATTCCTTGTATCTGATGATTGGTTTAGGTACATGAGCTGGAGATTGAACTTGAAGCTGAGCAGAAGCGCAGCATGGATTCCCTCAAAACTGTTCATAAATATGAAAGAAGAATCAAGGAGGTGTCCTATCAGGTAATGTGCATTTCCCTGTTGTACAATTTGTCTTCTTAGTTTTACAAATCCTGCAAAATTTAAAGTCACACTGTGATTATTTCAATGTGATTTTTTTATTATGCAGTCAGAGGAAGACAGAAAGACTATAATAAGATTGCAAGACTTGGTTGACAAACTGCAACTGAAGGTTAAGGCCTACAAGAGACAATCTGAGGAGGTTGTAAGTAATTCTCAACTTGACGACCTTATTCACCTTGAACATCATTTAAAAATTGTGTTTGCACATCCTGTAGTTGCATTTCTTTATTTTTTAGAATTTCTTTCTGGCAGCTAGAAAGGATATCCCAATACCACCGGCGTTATATAATTTTTTATGGTTTTTGCCCATCAGCAAGTCGAAGTTACCATCAGTTCTCCGTAAAAAAATTACAGCACAAAAATGCTGATGGCCATAGTGTCTGTGCTGGCCTTTTTAAGAGAACAATCCTTTCAGTCCCATTTCCCCTTTTCCTATTATCCCTCTCTTTCCATTGATTTGTTTTTCTGACATTATTTAGGATTTGGTAGCAAATATTTTGACCTGTGTTCTGACAGTTTGTGTTGTAATCTGTTTAGGAGGAGCAGGCCAACATTCACCTGTCTAAGTTTAGGAAAATACAGAATGAATTGGGAGAGGCTGAGGAACGTGCAGATATTGCAGAATCCCAGGTCAACAAACTGAGAGCAAAAACCCGCGACATCAGCTCCAAGGTATAAATATCTGATTATAACATCTAATCATGTCAAAACAGAAGAGAAGCATTAGAAAACCAGAAAGATAAAGAGGTGTTAGGGTGTGAATGCATTTATAGGTGAGGTTGATGACCTGAAGTCGATTTGTTGGGAGATGGGGAATCAGATGACAACTAAGGTGATGGGCGTCAGCAGTTTGGGGCAGGTGAGGACTTGGGCAATGGAGTTTTGGATAAGCTTGAGGATGTGGAACTGGCAAGAAATGTATTAGAAAAGTCTAGGTGGGAGGTAACAAAAGCGTGAATGAGGTGCGAGATAGGGGTAAAGGTAGGCAATGTAAAGAAAGGCAGTCTTGGTTACTGACCAAATGCGAGTAAGTGGAAAGAGGTGAGAATCAAACCAGGCATCAAGGTCCAAACTGAAGAAATGGTGTAGCTAATAGCTGCTGAATGAATTAAAAGTTTTATTTACTGCTAACATTTTATGGAACTTTTATTGTATTATTAACTGTATGCATTGTTTTTCTCTTAGGCAGCCAGTGAGTAGATGAAAAATTTAAAAGAGGTGTACAAAATGTGCATTTTGCTGTGACAGTTAGCAATGCACCAATTCAACCAGTTCAGTGCTGGGCATAAAAATAAAGTTTCAACTCTTAAAAAATGCTCATACTCTCATGTTTGTTACATTATTCAACAATTCCTGCTATCAGTGAAAGGAGCGAGTGACTAGGGAAGAGCACAGGAGGCTTTATTGCCGTCTGGATTTCATTCATTGAGGGAAAGACTGGATCTAAATCCCTGTGTCCATCTTCCTGCCTCACTGACTGTCCAATCTTTCCTCCGGCCTGTTCGACACTGAGGTCAGTAGGAAGCTGTGTCCAGTAATGCATTGCGACAGGCACCAATTCAAAACCATATACCTCTCAAAGCCCCTACGTTGCCCTCATCCTACAGGTCTCATTTATCCCCCGCTCTCCCCATGTCTCTCCCCACTCTTTGAATGTTTGTTCAGCAGCACGCACAAAGCACAAACCTTGCCAGTAAGTTACCTTCAACTGGGGAAAGTAAAATAACAAAGATTTTTCTACCCTCCTCTTTCCCCCCCTCACCCCTGTCTCCCACCATCACTCTGCTTACACTGGGGGCGGGAATATTCAAGCTATGAACATTGTTTGCTCAGATTTAGACTGAGATCATCCCAGACCCAACAAGGCCCATCTCAAGATTCTCCTCTTCAACTGTGCTTTCAATCACCCTGCATCACCCCCCTGTCCTCCACCCTTCCTGATCCCAACCCCCAGCTTGGTTCTGAAACTCTTGTCCAGCACCTTGATATGTCCTCCCAACATGAAAAGTACTATACAAGTGTAATTTTGTTGTAAGCACTCTGGTATCATAAACTCTGGCATCAACTGCTATCAATCATAATTTTCCCACACAGTAAAGTGAGCTGCAGAGCTCACTTTACTGTGAGCCCTGACCATTTCCCCCCTCCTCGCTCCCTTCCCTCCCCTCACCCTGACCATTTCCCCCCTCCTCGCTCCCTCCCTCCCCTCACCCTGACCATTTCCCCCCTGCTCGGGTCATGACCCAACTGTGCAGCGCCTTGGGACGTCCTCCTGACGTGAAAGGCGCTTTATAAATGGAATCTTGTTGTTGTTGTTGTTGTTGGTGCATTTCTGACTGAGCCATTAGCGTATTATGAAAATAAAATTGAAACAGAAAGATTTGTTTCCTTTAATTCGTTTTCATAAGAAGTTATGTAAATGTATACCTCCACTGGAGCCTATAGAGTTCACAGACAAGGCTGACACTTTATTGAAGTGCTGGAGGAGCACAGTATTGTTGGAATTGCCATCCTTTGGACGAGATGTTCAAGTTCAATCCATTCTGGCTGTTCAGGTAGACATGAAACATACAATGGTACTATCTCTAAAGAGAAGAGTTTCTCCAGTTGTCCTGGCCAACAATTCTCCAGGTAAAACTGATCATTCAATTTGTTGTTGTTTGTGGGTCCTTACTGTGTACAAAAAGGTGCCACCTTTCCCTAGCAAATAGACCATCAGTATCCTTGACACCAATCCCTGTAAAGTGTTTGAGGTCTTTCAAAATAAGAGGAGGTAATTCAAATGGAAGGATTGTTATTACTGCGCAATAAAAAGTATAAATGAAGATAAATATTGGTTCAAGCAACTATATTCTTTATTTTCTACAACAAAACAGTACAGATAAGTAAGTGACAAAGATTCACATTCTGCAAATCTCTGCCAATCACTTCAGTTTCTTGTCATTGTCTCATTATTCTTCTTCTATTCCCTTCTGTAAAAAGAAAACATACAGCAATGGAATGCAGAAAGTGAGTTGAAAGGGTGTTTTAATCAGTAATTCAATTGAAGTCCTAAACTAGGCCTGTTTCACTGTCAGTATGGCTAATCATTATTTGGATCCAGCAATTAGCATTTTAAACTCACTTCATATTTGGTATTTTATACTCTTTGGCCAGAAGGAGATGGGGTTCTTTTGCTCTGGGGAAAATGCTCCTGAGGGAATGGAACACTTACAAGTTCAGGTACCTGCTGTTAGCATTAAGCACTCCCAAGACAAGTATAACACATCCTGCAGCAAAGGAAAGCTGCAGTGCACAACAGTGAGCCTTGGACAGAACCGCAGAAAATATCATTTTTGTACTAGTTTTATATTTCTATTTCCCATCTCATTGGGAATTTAGTGCCAAATTAGTAGCAGCTTTATGCTTTGAGCACCCATACACTAGGTACTTGGTTGAGACAGCTTAAACAACTTTCATATAGGACACTACAAACAGCAAAGCTTTGTCCCACCACCATCTACACTAAAACTGAACTATTTATAATATAAATGATAATTGTTAGGCTACACTCCAAAAATACACTATGTAAGAATTTTTTAAAAAACTGTAAATTGAAATCACAGCGCTTACCTTGCCAACCTCTCGGCTTCTCGCCCTGAGTTTGTTAACCTGGGATTCAGCAATATCTGCACGTTCCTCTGCCTCTTCCAGCTCATGTTGCACCTTTCTAAATTTGGAGAGGTGAACATTGGCTTGTCCTCCTAAAATAATTTGTTCCAGATTAATGAAATTCATCAATAACGATTTGTATTCTCCAATAGTTAAAGTTAATGAAAGAGCACAGTTATCATTTGATTAGATTTCTCCCCTTTGGGCATGTAATTATGGATAAAGTGTTCTCATTAATGTGCTAAAGCAAAGGATTTTGTTTTTACTAACTTAATTCTCATCAACCAAAAGATGCAATGAATATATCTTTAAATTCATTGAATTATAGTATTACCATTAAAAGAACTTAATACAATACAATGGTTTGATTGCATGTTGAGATACCCATTCTGTACTGAGAGTGAAAAAAATATGAACCATTGTTAGCCTTAATGAACAATTTGAAAATGAAATATCCATCTTTAACTTAATTCCACAACAATATTTGTTGGCACAATAGCGAACCTATAACAGTGACAATGCAAACAATTACCAAATCTATCAATAGTAACTTAGTCATCAGAATTTGGAACTTGAATCTGAATGACCCCCTTCTGCTATAAACGTTCTATGATTTTATATAATTATGATTTGAAAACTTAACATTACTTGCACCCAATATATTGTATGCAGTCGATGAGGTGACTTTACTGTCCATTTATTAGGTATAAGCACGTTTTTATTGTCGAACCACATAACATCTCAACATAAACCCAAAATAACTTTATAAACAAATACCCAGTTAGTCTCTTAATTTTAAGCTTATTTTCATTGTTACTCATCAAGCTGCACATCTCAAGTTTCCACAAAACCGGTATTTAAGATTTAACTTACAGCTTCCTCAGATTGTCTCTTGTAGGCTTTAACTTTCAGTTGCAGCTTGTCGACCAGATCCTGGAGCCTCAGGTTATTCTTCCTATCTTCTTCAGTCTACAACGATAGTGTTACAGCTCCTTTATGATAACTTCCCAAGAAACCATTAAATATTGAGAGTTTCAGGGTTTGCCAATGTGTGGCTGATGGTATAACCTTACCTGGTAAGTGAGCTCCTTCACTCTTCTTTCAAATTTGCGAACCCCTTTAATTGCTTCATTAGAGCGCCTTTGTTCACCTTCAAGTTCATTCTCAAGCTCACGTACCTAAAGGGTTTCAAATTGGACGTTTCTCATATTTATTAGGAAATCTAGTATTAGAGACCATCCCACTACTGAGAACAGTTACTGTGATTGTGAAGCTGTTATTCTCGTACTTAATGAAGCATTGCAATATTGAGAGAGTATTTTTAAAAATGAACAAACATACATTCAGTCACTCCTAACGAGAAAGGGGAAGTTGGTTAGTTTTGACGCTTAATTGATGACGTGTAATAGAGTATTATATTCTGACTAATTGTTGGTGCATTACAGATATTGCTAAGTGGACATCGTTTAGTGCTCTAAGCACTTTCAGTCCTTTTGACAAAGTCAACCATTCACTATAGTCGCCCTGTAGCAGTTACTGAAACTCATACCCTGGCCTCCAGTTTCTGAAGCTGCTTCTTTCCACCTTTCATTGCTAACTGTTCAGCTTCATCCAGGCGGACTTGCAGATCCTTCACGGTCTGATCCAGGTTCTTCTTCATTCTCTCAAGATGAGCACTGGTGTCTTGTTCCTTCTTCAACTCTTCTGCCATCATGGCAGCCTTAAAGAACATTGCCATTTTCAGTACAGGTAGTGGCCATTGAGCCATTCACGTCTGTGCTACTTATCACAACATAACAGAAGAGGTACAGTCACATTTATCGTCCACCTGCAAATTATGTTCAAAGAGATGATTTCAACAAACAAACTTACATCCATGATTGCTTTTTTAGCCTTTTCTTCTGCATTTCTCGATTCTTGAACAGCCTCTTCAACCTCAGATTGAAGTTGGCTAATATCGGTTTCCATCTTCTTCTTCGTGTTTATTAGGGATGTGTTCTGTGAAATGAATTCTGGTTGGTTATGTT